GAACAACATTTTTTGCTTCGCCTGAAAAAAGCAAATCTGTAATTAAAACTGTGAAAATAAAAAATAATATTTATTGTTAAAAATGACTGGTTTTTATCTTAAAGCTGTTTCTTTGAGTTGCTATTTATTAAAATTATGTTTTTCACAAACATTTTTGTTATTTAACTTGCGAAAACTTATTTGTCCAAGTGACATTATTGTCAAAAAAATGAAACCGCCAATGTGCCGCAGAGAAAAATCAAGTTCAAAATCAAGAGAAAAATGAACTTTTCTTTGTACTGAGTTAGATTTGCTCGTTTCAGGTAAAGCAAAAAATGTTTTTCCTCTTGTAAACCAATCCGGGGACATGCTGTATATTAAAAACTATGTAGACAACAACCAGACATTATTCTTGAAAAATGTGAAGTCAATTTGGAAGTTGGAGAATCGATAATTGCAGTTTAGTGCAGTGGCGTGCATGAATAATAGTCTGCATCATTGTTTGGGTTCGTAGACGTCGAGTTGTGAAAACGCGCACAAAAGAAGAGCGTCGCGGGTCAGTGGTGTAGTGCGTCGGGACGCTGCGTGCGTGCGTGCGTCGTCTGGCGCCTACCTTGAGAGATGCAGTACATGATCTGTCTTGGCACCTTGAGTCCGGCGGCCAGACAAGCCGCGAAGGACGCGGAGAAGTTGATGGCCATCGCGGTGGATCACCTCGTCGTCGAGTAGTAGTCACTCACAGGGCACATGGCACTGTCACTAGGAGTCGTGTCGCGGCGGCGTCGTCGCGCGATGGAGATGTTGTCGTCGATGATGCAGCGGCCTCGGCCTCGGCAGCATCCATTTGGGCGACGCACACACTCGCAGCATTAACCGAGGCGGCTGCGGCTGCATTCGATTTCGCCCAAGTCTGAACAACTCGGTGGCGGGGATGATGCAGACGCTGACGCTGACGCTGGTGGGTCGGTGACGGAGTCGGAGTCGGAGTCAGAGTCGGCTGCCGACGACCTCATGGCTCGCGAGATGAGGAGAGGAACCGCGCTGTTGCCGCCGTGCTCCTCTGCTCTCTACCCGTCTGGCTGCTGCACTTCACCACCCACCGCACCCCCTCCGGCCGTCCTATGCACGTGCATCGCGCCGGCCTGCTGCACCCGAATCAATATCACACATTATCACAAAAAACTGACCCGACTTGAAGCGGGGCTTTGCACCTTGCCGACGCGAGACTACCCAGCTAGACGAACGAACCATGCCCATACCCCAAGCACCACCACTAGGTCATACCAACAACGAGAATACATTCAACTAAATCAATTACTTCTTCAACACGCAATTTTTAACTTTACTATAGACAAGGATTCTTGGTGAATGACGTTTTCACAAGCCATTATTCTGGTTTACAAGAACCAATCACACTTTTTACCACAGGTGAATAAAAAGTATGGAACCAAACGTTTTTTGCTTAAACTATTAATTTTTTGGAAAAACTAATTGATGAACGATAAAGTACAGTACAAGTAAAGATATGATGTTTTATCAAGAACAAAATTTTTCGAAATTTGAGTTTGTTTTTGAGTTCTACAAAAAAAATATTTTTTTAAATAGCAACCCACAATAAAACTATTTTATCCAATATTCAATAGTAATATAGTGTTTTACTTGTTAAGTAAACTGCGCAACAACTAGACTGTTTAATATAACCCATTGCAGGATGAAATAAAATTTTAGTAGATATTCTGAACACTTTATTTAAGAATAGGTAAAGTCTGTTTTTTTTTTTAAATGGAAATGCCAAACAGTCTTAACGTTGGCATCACTAGTAAATTCATTCATGGTAAGGAAGTTGGCAGTTCCGTTTTTTTGAATTAATTTGAAAACATTGTCATTAAACGTCAACACAAAAAATCGTCTAAGAAAATTAGAGACGAAACACCAAAATAAAACAAATTCGGAACCGCTAACAGTTTTTAGAAATTTGGAAACGAATAGTTCGCAAGCAGGAAGTTAGAAAAAAGGCCTTTTAAAATGTAGACGCAATTTGTAATGCAGGTTTGCTAAACATTCTTAATTTTTAGCAAAACATTGACAAGAATACCAAATAAACATGAATGAGAAAGAACCTCGAAAAGAACGCAATTAAATTAGTGTCTTGTGCATCGTTTTTGAGGAACGAGTTGAAAAAGTAACAATTTTGAAACTAAAGCTGAAGAAGAATTTATAAAATGCATCAACTTTGAGCTCATTTCAATCAATTACACAAAATTTATTGCCAATCATCATAATACCTACTTGTATCTTTTGCTAAATAACTTTTTTCAGTATATACGTCCTCTTTCTTCAAAGTTTTTGTAGCAAGAATCTCATTTTTGTCCACAACATTGTACTTACTTGCGGTCTGTTTCTGCCAAAATTATTAGCACTGAATTCTGTCTTTAGACCTTAGGTAATGATGTCTGTCCTCAGGTATTCAATTATAGCGCTTTCAAAAAGCAAACAGGCACACAAGATTCATAAAAGTCCAAATTTTGACAACATCTCAACTGGAACACATAACCATAATTTTTTAACAAAATTTTTAGGGACAAAAACAAAGAGCAAACAAAATTTGTGGCTATGGAGACAAGCTGCTACCAATTTTTTCACCAAAATTTTGACTTGGTAATTTCCATTAAAAAAAAAAAAAACTTTACAGTACAAGTAAAGATATGATGTTTTATCAAGAACAAAATTTTTCGAAATTTTCTTTTGTTTTTGAGTTCTACAAAAAAATATTTTTTTAAATAGCAACCCACAATAAAACTATTTTATCCCATATTCAATAGAAATATAGTGTTTTACTTGTTAAGTAAACTGAGCAATAACTAGACTGTTTAATATAACCCACGTTGCCATTTGCACCGTGGGTTATTACCATCCATAACCCATTGCAGGATGAAATAAAATTTTAGTAGATATTCTGAACACTTTATTTAAGAATAGGTACATCAAATTTGAAATTATGTTTCAGATTTCTTTCCAAAATAGAAACGAACATTCGAAAGTGTACCGTGAAAATGAATTTCAGGAATCTCTCTGGACCCAACGACTTACAAACCAGAAGCAGAATTCTCATGTTTTTCGTATCTTTTTCACCTTGAAACAAATGTTTTGGTTAAAATTTGATGAAATTTTAGGATAAAAAGCAAAGCTAACCTGGCAAATCAGTGGAAAGTTTGTTTATTCTTCGACACTGTCACAATTTACGGTTTTTCTCCCGTGTAAGGAAGTTTTGACAACTGTTTGGCACTTCTCAATATGATACGTCAGATTATTTTTAACAGATTTAATAGATAAAAATCCGGGAATAATATTGGATAAAACGTGGTATGGCATACGTGTGTTATCAGATATTACCTACGAGGGCAAGCCCTCGTAGGTAATATCTAACATAACCCACTTATATCATAAATAACTATTTCTCATAAAAGTTATGATGTAAGGATCACAAATATCTACTTCATATTTAATTTTTTTTTCATAAATTGCAATTTTGACTAAAAAAAATCGCATAACTCTAAAACAAGACAAAAAAAAAAACACGCTTGGTTCCAAACTTTGTATTCACCCACTTTATATTCAAAAGTATAATTTCTCAAAAGCTCGCGAAACCGTCAAAACAAGATTCAAAACTACGGGTTTCAAGAATTAAGAATTGAGTAATTCCATGCCAAAACGATCACGTTTAAAACTCAATGTTTCTGATTTTTGTAAATTTGAGATACGTTATAGAACGTGTAAAAATAAGTGACACGTATTTCACCGTTTTTTATTTCCTCAATGTATGTTGATCAACATACTGAAACGATTTTTTTTTGTACACTACGGACGTGATAAAATATGTATGCTAAAAATTTGTTATTAACAAATAATCCAAAAATATATTTTTAAAAGTTTAAACAAGAAAATAAACAATTACGCAGGTTTTTAAAATTCTCAAAAAATTTATGTAAAAACTCTCTTATTTTTACTATGTCTTCACACAAGTTTCAAGACGGACGTTTTAAAAATGGCTGAAAAAAAATTTTTTGAGAGCTCTGCACAGTGCACGATCCCCTAAGATCGCCTGAAAGTAGCGTTTCTTTGGAAATTAAATAAAAAAATTACCAATTACCCTCACTAATAAACTGTCCTAAAGAAAACACATAATTTCCAATAACTTATTAAGTTATTAACCTTTATTTTTCAAAAAATATGAATAATAAAAAACAAATTTTTCGGTTGAGGAAGAGTACGCTCTATATTTTATTATATATTTTTTTTATTATATTATTCGTACAGGCTGTACGAATTCTCAAAGTCGTCAAAACAAGCTTCAAAACTACGGGTTTTAAGAATTAAGAAGAAAATATCTTTTTTTTTTGACATTTTTTGCCTTAGCACTAGACATAAACTGACCAGAATTAACTTTACTATAGACAAGGATTCTTGGTGAATGACGTTTTCACAAGCCATTATTCACACTCTTCCAAAAAAAACACAAATCTGTGATACTAAAGCTGAACCCGATTTGTCCAAAAGTACCTATGATTTCTCAAAAGCCGGCGAAATCGTCAAAACAAGATTCAAAACTACGGGTTTCAAGAATTAAGAATGTACCAATTTTCCAATAAATACGATTATTCGAACTTCCAATACTTCTAATGTGGGGTTTAAACGGAACACTCTGTATATTATTTAAACAAAAAATAAACAATTACGCAGGTTGTTAAAATTCTCTAAAAATTTATGTAAAAACTCTCTTATTTTTACTGTCTTCACATAAATTTCAAGACGGATGTTTTAAAAATGGCTGAAAAATTTTTTTTTGATCCCTAAGTTCGCCTGAAAGTAGGCAGCGTTTCTTTGAAAATTAAATAAAAAATTACCAATTATCGTCACTAATAAATTGTTCTAAAGAAAACACATAATGTCCAATAACTTATTAAGTTATTAACATGTATTTTTCAAAAAATATGAATAATAAAAAACAAATTCTTCGGTTGAGGAAGAGTACTCTCTATATTTTATTATATTTTTTTTATTATATTATTCGTACAGACTGTACGAATTTTCAAAGTCGTCAAAACAAACTTCAAAACTACGGGTTTTAAGAATTAAGAAGAAAATATCATTTTTTTTGACAATTTTTGCCTTAGGACTAGACATAAACTGACCAGAATTAACTTTACTATAGACAAGGATTCTTGGTGAATGACGTTTTCACAAGCCATTATTCACACTCTTTACCAAAAAACACATATCTTGATACTAAAGCAGAACCCAATTCGTCCAAAAGTATGATTTCTCGAAAGCTCGCGAAATCGTCAAAACAAGCTTCAAAACTACGGGTTTCAAGAATTAAGAATTAAGAAGAAAAAAACTACTTTTTGACACTTTTTGCTTTAGTATTTGACATAGTACATGTACCTCACCGTAAAGTCTGTTTTTTCGTTAAATTGAAATTACCAAGTCAAAATTTTGGTGAAAAATTTGCCAAAATTATGGTTATGTTTTCAAATTGAGATGCCAAAATTTTAAATTTTATACCTGTTTGCTCTTTTAAGCGCTATAATTGAATACCTGAGGACAAACATCATTAACTAGGTTCTAAAGACAGAATTCAGTACTAATAATCTTGCTAAAACACACCGCAAGTAAGTATGTACAATGTTGTGGACAAAAATGAAGTTCTTGCTACAAAAACTTTAAAGAAAAAGGATGTATATACAGAAAAAAGTTATTTAGCAAAAGATACAAGTGGGTATTATGATGATTGGCAATAAATTTTGTGTAATTTAGTGAAATAAGCTCAAAGTTGATGCATTTTATAAATTCTTCTTTAGCTTTAGTTTCAAAATTGTTACTTTTTCAACTCGTTTTTAAAACGGTGCAACCAGACCTACCAATTTACATATTTGCGTTCTTATTCTTTGATGTTTATGTTGAATTCTCAGCAATTTTTTACTAAAAATTAGAGAATGTTTAGCAAATTTCGTCTAAATTTGATATGTCCAAGAGTATGATTTCTTAAAAGCTCGCCAAATTGTCAAAACAAGAATT